GCTGTTCAGTTCCGGCAGCGGCTGACTTGGGGACGCCTGGGGCAGAGCAGCTGGGGTGCTGCCGGGTTGGTCCAGTAGTGCCCAGAGCGGCGCTGTGGGACCAACCGGCAGCGCCCAGGCTGCTCTCCCCCAGGGTCCACAACAAAAGCCGGGTCTGCGGGGGGGGGGGCGCACTATCTGTGCCCCCCCCCCAGCAGACCAGGGAGATGCGGGTGGCGGGACCGCCCAGATGCGCCACGGTCCCACCGCCCGCGTCCTCCGCGGCTTTGCTCCGCGTCTCGCGAGAAAAGCCCCGTTCGTAAGTAGGGACCCGACATAAGTCGGATCCACCTAACTCGGGGACTACCTGTAGATTGCACCAGCCACATGCAGTTCAAATGATGCAGTCCATGATTGGGGATAAGTAGAGTCTGTCTCTAAGAACTGGTTAAAAGTAGGCAATCTTCCTCTGTTTGAACATAGCAATAAGTAATTATTTGTATTGTTGTGGATATCTGTGTTTCCTTCAGGATTCTCTGCAGTTTCTGCACTTTGTTTTTGTAGGAAATAAGTTTCATGAAGCAAATTAGGTGCACAAATCACTTTTAAATCCACTGAGTTGTTTTCTGTGAGTATAATATTTGTACGCTGGTAATGTCCCTTTTTAAGACTAATTATTTTGGTTAGTTAGGTGATAAATAGTTTGATTAGTTAGAAGTTTAACCAAATGTGTCCTTAAAAAAAGTTGTGCTAATATAAATGGGCTTTATGTTTAGATTGCAACAGATCCTCCTGTTTTGAAGAGAAAATGGCAAGAATGTAAGTGTTGTTTGCATGTTTATATAAGATTAAATCCAGCAGTCTTGACTTGGGTGCAAGGTCTGTTGACATCTAAGGGAGTTTTGCCTGAGCATGCACTGCTACAATAGGTCGATAGTCTGGAGTGTTACTGTTTGCTATCTGTACAGTGGCCATATTTTCCTAACCAAAAGGCAGGGCACATGATCTGACAAAGATCTGATTTGTGAGCGGGTAGGGGGTGCAGGGTCTCAGCAGGGCGGTGAGTGAGCAGGCTAGGAGTTCAGGGTCTCGGTGGAGGCAATGAGTGAGCGGGCTGTGGATGTGAGGGTCTTGGCAGGGCTGTGATTGAGCAGGCTGGAGGTGAGAAGTCTGGGCATGAGGGGAAAGGGGGCCACTTGCTTTCATGCAGCTTACAACACCATGCCCCAGGCACTGCCTCCCACTGCTCCTATTGGCCAGTTTCCAGAGCAGTGAGAAAAGCCTCCAAGAAGCACATCCCTGCGCTGCAGGTCCCTCAGCTGGAGGAGGGGGAGGGAGAGTGGCCACATGCATAGCTGCTTCTAGCTGTGCTTCTTCCCCATAAGCCGCATCCAGCGGGGAGCCTTGGGGCTTTCTCTCCCCTTCCCTGCTGAAATATTGCTGAAATAATGGAATATCTGGGACATTTCCGTGGTTTATGGGTACAACAGGACAGAATATTTGAAATCAGGACTGTCCAGGAAAATCTGGGACTTATGGTCGGCGTAGCAATATGTCTAGACTTCCAAGATGCTGAGTAGAAACCTGACATAAACCAAATTGAAGTAAGACATTGTTATTCCAAAGTAAGTGTCCGTACACGGGCTTGCACAGAAATAACAAAAAAATAATATTAATTAAAACCAGTTTAGATATTTTGATGCAAGTTTGTGTGGAGACCAGCCAGACCTTAGAGCAATTGAGCAAAAACAGCAGTTAAACTTAACTTTCATGAGCTACTTCTTAATAGAGAATCTTATGGATTCTCTTGTCTGATAATGATATCATGGACCACCTTTCTTCTTACTGCATTTGCAAAAATCCTTGGAAGCAACTTTAGCAATTGCTTTTCTCTCTCTCTCTCTATCTATCTATCTATCTCTCTATCTATCTATCTATCTATCTATCTATCTATCTATCTATCTATCTATCTATCTATCTATAAAAATCCCTGTGGGATGACAATGTGAAGTCATCGCATCACTCTGCATGCGACAGTCCCACCTCTGCCCTCAGTTGCTTGCTGGGGCCAGCTGTTCCATGTGGGCTGCTCCAGCTATGCTGCTGGTGAGGAGCTACTAGGGCTGGGTCCTCTCCGCCATCTGAGCCTGACTGCTGGTGGTGGGGGGGGAGAGAAGGGGAGAGCTAAGGCTGGCATGTCATGAGACAGCCCTGCCTGGGAGTGTGGAGGGGAGAGCTGGGGCTGGGGCGGGGGGGAAGCAGGGCAGAGGTAGAGAGCTGGGGCTGGGACACCTTTGGCCCCAGGAAATCCCTGGCATCTGGGGAGAAAGAATTGGAGCGGGCTCAGTCCCAGGCCTTCCCTGGCCAAGAGGGGAGTTGGTAAGTGTAGAAAGCAGGTGGCGCAACCCCCTTGCATGGCAAAATAATATTGTATCTGTCCTCACTGCAATTTAATAAGTGAATTCTGTGAGGAAAGTGTGACCAGTCAGTTCTTCATATAGCCCAGTGTTTCCCAGTTTTATTTGGCCACGGAACCCTTTAAAAAAAAAACGCTGGGAGAAACTGGTCAACTCCCCCCTCCCCCCCAAAAAACCCCCAATAATGCCGGCCCACTGCTAACACCACGTTGGCCCCTTGAAAATGGTGGCCCTGGGCAGCTCGGGGGGGGGAGGGGGAGGAGAGTGATTGGGTTCTTGCGCAACCCCAGGATTCCATGGAGCACTGTTTGGGAAACAACTGATATAGCCATTAAGTATTCAGTAGATCATTGATTGGTCACAGATAATAATCTGGGAACCATGGTTTTGGGAACCACTGTTTTAGGTTTCTGGTGTCTTGTGTTCCGTGGGCTAGTTAGTGAATTTGTCCATTTTGTCTAGTAGTTGATTCAGCAGAAACCAAAATTTTATCAATCTAGATTCCAACCTAAGATTATATACAGGTTTGCTTGTTTGAAACTTTTTTTCATTCCTTATACAGATACCTACAATTCAAAAGGTAAAGTTCAGGTTTTGGATCCTTCAACTAGCAAAGAAGAAAAGGCAGAAGGTGATGCTGATAAGCCTAAACAGATCCAAGAATCTGCTCAAAGTCTACCTTCTGAAGGTAAGAGATTTAAACATGCTTTTAAAAAAACTCAGTTTGATAATGCACTGTTAACCTTTGGAAATTAATACCACCCAGTGAATCTTCCTTCTCTCTGCCCCATGGTGCCACTCCCTCAGTGACTGTTAGGGGAACTCAGTCCAGGACTCTACTCCAAGTTCCAGTCCAGGGACTCTCAGCCTAGCAGTTCTGAGCCTTCTTCTCTCAGCCCTCACTTCTCCTTTTCAGGACTACGTCCTACCACATCTGGTTCCCTTTCTCCTTCTGGGTGTACCAGCTCCAATACTCTCCTCTCTTGTCCTGAGGAGTGACTGATGCCTACCTTCTTGTGACCTTTCCCAGCAGCCCGTCTGTTGCTAGCTATCTGGCTTTATTCAGGCCCCACATATTCTTGCATAGCTGAGCCTGCTCTTGATTAGTTTCCTGCTGCTTGCCTGCTTTCTCCAGGTGCAGCCTGTGAAGTTAATTGGTCTGTGTGGCCATCTTATCCCCTTCCAATCTTGTGTGGGCTGGACTCCCCATCACAGCTTCATATGAAGAAATACGTAGAACAGCTGTGTGTTAGTCTGTCCGTACTTCTACCCAGTTTTACAAGATAGACTTGTAAGAATTATTTGATTCAAGGACTTATGACTGAGTAATGGATTAAATTTAAAAAAAAAAAGTAGGGCAAGTCTACACTACAAAATTAAATTGACCCACATTAAGTCGACCTACAGCCATCCCAGTAATTAAATTGTTTTTGTAAATCCATGCTGCAAAGCATCAGTGTCAACACTTGCATTGAAGCAGAGAGCAGTGAATCATGAATAGCTGTCCCTCAGTGCAGCTTGCAGCCATCTGGCAGGGTGCTTTGGGCAGGATTTGCAATGCCTCATAGATCGAACGAATTACACAGGATGACTGAGAACATAGTTCCAATGTCCCATAAAGCAGTTTTGTCCTTCCCATAATTTTATCTGTATTCAATAATGTTTCATGCCTTTTTCAAAAGACTTGCTTCTGTCATCTCTGTGAGAAGCATGGCTTCTTCACAGCTCTGTACTATTGTGATGAGTGTTGTAGCACAATGCACCTAATCCTGCAGTCTTTGCAGAGTTTCTGTTGGACATAGAAAATAAATGATTTATGCTGGTTGTTAGAATTGGTGGAACTTCTGCAGATGGTGCAGTGCTGGTTCTGGCCTGAGAAAAAAACACTAACTAGTCAGATCTCATTGTTATGCAGGAATGTTATGACAAGCAATGGCTGCAGAACTTTAAGATATGCAAGGCCATGTTCCTGGAAGTGTTTGTTGAATTTGCCCCAGCCTTCTGAGGCAGAGAAACCAAAATAAGTACTGCAGTGACATTGGAAAAGCGAGTGGCAGTCACTGCGTGAAAGCTTGCAATGCCAGTTTGATTTCTGACTGACCAGTACAATCTGGAGTTGTGGGGATTGTTGGGATGCAAGTATTCAGGGTCATTAATCATGTTCTTCTTTGAAGAACTATGACTCTGGGCAATGTGTAGGACATAGTGGATGGTTTTGCAGCAATGGGGTTACCAAATTGCAGTGGGACAATAGGTGTCTGCATACCCCTGTTTTAACACCCTATACAGAGTACATTAACAAAAAGGGCTACTATTTTATGATATTGCAGGGACTTGTGGATCACTGCTGTCATTTTACTGATATCCATGTAGGATGGCCAGAGAAGATACATGACTCATGTTTAAGAACACAGGCCTGTTAAGAAAGCTGCAAACAGGACTTTCTTTCCAGGCCAGAAGGTCACTCTTGGGGTATTGAAATGCCAGTAGTGATCTTGGGAAACCCAGCCTATCCCTTACCCCTGTGACTCATGGGCCGTGTCTACACTCAGGGGTTCTTTCGAAAAAAGTACCCTTTTTTCGAAAGAACTTCCCCTGGATCCAGACTCAAGCCGCGTTCTTTCGAAATTATTTCGAAAGAACGCGGCTTTTCTTTCGATGGCGGTAAACCTCGTTTCACGAGGAAGAACGCCTTCCTTCGAAAGTTCCTCTTTCGAAGGAAGGCGTTCTTCAATGTAAAGAGGCCGTCTTCGAAAGAGAGCATCCAGACTCGCTGGGTGCTCTCTTTCGAAAAAGCGGATTTCCTCTATCGAAAGATCCGCCTGCAGTCTAGACGCGATCTTTCGAAAGAGGCTCTTTCGAAAGATGCTTTCGAAAGAGCCTCTTTCGAAAGAAGCCTGAAGTCTAGACACAGCCATGATGTGGTACACCAGGCAACTCAGCAGCAAGGAGTTCTTCAACTACAGGCTGAGCTGGAGCTGCATGAAAGTTGAATGTGCCTCCAGCTGTTTGAAAGGCCACTGGCGCTGTTTATTCATAAGATTAGACCTCAGTGAAAAAAGTATCCCAGTGGTTATAGGTGCCGGCTATGTGCTTCCTAATATCTGTGAAGCAAAAGTGGAAAAGTTTCCACTGGCCTGCAGGACCAGAGGTAGAGTGTCTGCTGATTTTGAGTAGCCAGGTACTACGGCAGTAAGAAAAGCTCAGTGGGGAACTAGATGGAACAGGGAGGTTTTGAAGAGCCATTTTAATAGTGAGCTTACAGTAATGTGTGTGTCTGCGTGGCATTGCTTTTTTGCAGCCCAGTATGAATCTGTTAATGAATTTTGTATGTGTCTTAATATAGCATTGTAAATACAGTTAGTGCCATTCTCTTTTAGTGATGTCAGATTCAGGCAGAATACACTGTGAACTTGTAAAAATAAATTAATTATCCATAAATGGACTTTTATTCCAAACCCATGCAAACAGACATATTTATAACTGAATGCAACTTTATAAATACAAGGAAAAGAACCTTTGAAAGGGAAAAGAAAAATAATTTCCATTTCACAAAGACACCGTCTCTCTCACGGATCGATATATACATGTCTGTTATTGTCTTGACTTTCCTGTGGGGTGGAGTGAATACCTCCTAGATAGCGCAGCAGCCCTGAATGTCTGGGTGGAATACAGGGGAGAGAGGGAAGAGAAGGGATATGTAGTGAGGTCCTAAAATTCAGTTCTCTGTGGGTTGTAGAGGAAGTTGAGCACAGGTCCGTTGAATCTGAAAGTCAGCAAGAGTCTCCTTAGTGTCTGTCTGCCTCTTGAGAAGCGCTTGCATGCCTTCCTGCATATCTTTCTCCTTTTCTTGTGCTTTTCTCCTCTCCACTCTATTCCTGTCCATTGTGTTTGCAAGGATGATCCTCAAAGTCAAGAGTGGGCAATAATTTTTGGCAAGAGGCCACGCCAAGATTTCGGAAAGAGGTCAAGGGCTGCGCTTTTCTGTGGAGAGGGTGTGGGGTCTAGGATGGAGGCTGGGTTCAGAAGGGCACATGGGGTAAAGGACTGGGATGCAGGAGATGGTGAGAGATCTGAGAGTTTGGGTGAAGGAAGGAGGTGTGACCTGGGAAAAGGGGGTGCAGACTGCAAAGGGTTTGGGTTGACCTGGGTAAGGGGATTGGAGTGCAGGAGAAGATTCTGGCTTGGGGGAGGGGTTACAGAGCCTGGGAGGGAGTTGTGACCTAGAGTAGGAGAGTGCAAAGGATTTGGATGGTGACCTGGGGGAGGGAGTTGGGGTACAAAAGAGGCAGGGGTGCCAGAGGCAGGCTGTGGCTGGGACCCCTAGAAACTCCCAAGCCTCTCTGGCCAGCACCCCTAAGGCGCAGGTTGGGCTCCCTGCCTGCTGCAGCCCTACATCACTTAGAGCTGCAGGCTTTTCCTTCCTTGTGGCTCTCAGCTCCAGGAAGAGGAAGAGGCTTGTGTTGCCCCCATCCCACAGGCCAATCTCTCAGTTCCTGTTATCTGGTTGTTTCACCAAAGGGGGGGCCGGAGCCATGCAACCTACCCCCATTGTTCCCCCTCCACTCCTTAATGTACTACTGTGTATTTGCTATATACCATAAAATGTAAGAAGTGCAACATGGCTCCGTTGTTGCTGAAAAAGAAACAATAATGTTTGGATTGCTGCACTTGACTTGATTTTAAACTTTAGTGGAGA